AAACAAAGGTCAGGGTACTGAAATGGTATCTATTTTTACTAAATTTTTTTTGTTTTTTTTTTTTTTTTTTTTTTTGGTGGGGGGTGGTGGGAGGAGAGGTTTATGCTATAGAGCATATGTGCTCGCCAGAAAGATAGAGAGACAGAAAGCGAGAAATAACACCCCAGGGGTATGGCCAAACCACAATCACCTCTTCTCCATTCTCCTCTCGGGATCTTGGGCACTCACGCACACGCGTCTGGCATGAGTTTAAGCCACCGGGTCCGGGACTTTAACCACAGTTGGCTACATGGGAGTCCAGTGACATAGCTGTTGCACCAACTGCTGGTCCCTTCCATAAAATAATTCTTTAAGGGACCGACAGGTGGCATGGTGGTTAAGGGCATTGTACTCCCACATGGCCAACCGTGGTTCAAGTCCTGGACCTGGTGGCCTGCTTTCTCACTTTCCCTCTCTCTGTGTCATCTGCAGGGGGTCAGCAGATGGTGTGGTTAAGGCTCTGCATTCCTACATGGCCCACCACAGTTGGAGTTCTGGACCTGGCAGCTTGAAAATCACACTTGGCGCATGTACATGCATGTCCAAAATCCCAAGAGAAGAATGGAGGAGAAGGGATTGTGGCACGGCTATCCCTCCTGGGGTGTACCTTATCACCTGCCCCTATTTCTATCTCCGTGGAGTATACATGCCATATAACAAACATTTTTTAAAAAGCACACCAAGCATGTGTGCCCAAAATCCTAATAAAATGGATAAATAGAAGTAAAGGATGGATTCCAGCATGACCATGCCCCATTGAGGTGTGCCTTTGCTATCTCTCTTCTCTTCTCTCTTTTCCTCTCTGTCTCTCTGGCCAGCACACACACACCTTGACAATAAAGAAATAAAAAAGTAACAAAAGTGAGAATTTATTACTTCTAAGAATTGTTCTCTCATTTGAAGATTTGGCTCACAAAATGCATTTTCCTTATATCCTAGGAGAGTACTATGCTACCATGTCTTGTCCATATCTATATTTTATATGATATTCTTTTGGCTTGATTTTAAGATGAAAGAAAAATCTAGTTTTTGTTTGTTGGTTGGTTTAATCTTTCTACCTTAGGACTCAAAAGGTAAATAGAGGACTTGATTTTCTCTGAAGAAGCATTTTTCTATTTTTTTCTCTCTCTTTTTTACTTTAAAGAACTATTTAATCTTATTTATTATTATTTTTAAAAATTTTGCTACAGGCTATTTGCACTCACCAGAGAGAGAGGGGGGAGAGAGAAAGCAAGTCTCCAGGTTCAGGACTCAAACTACAGTCAGGCATGTGGGAGTCCAGCGCCTTAACCACCACACCACCTACTGCCCTTGCATTCTTCTGTTTTTTTTCCTCTACTCTCTTTATTTTTTTCCAGATCTGAAGAATTTGCTCACATTGGTGAAAGGTGCATTACTATCCCAATAACCTTTAGTTTTCAAATTTTGGATCCTGGGTTACTGGTCCAGTTCATTTTGTGAATGTTTATTTTTTAATTTTTGCTTTAGGGTGTATGTGCTCACCAGACAGAGAAAGAGAGAAATCACTCCTCCATTGGAGATGTCCACACCACAGCCCCATCTCCTCCTTTCTCCTGTTCAGGGTTGGGGCATGCTCACACATTTCTGGTGTGTTTTTCAAGCCACAGGGTCCAGGACTGAGCTGCACAGTCAGACAAGCGAGATCTAACCACCTTAACAACCATACCATAAGCCGGTTCTGTGGATGTTCTTATGGACAGTAGTGCACTTTAAAAAAAAGCAGGTGCATAAAAGAGAAAGAGGAGGGGACCAGCAGGTGGCGTGGTGGTTAAGCTGCTGGACACTCCCACATAACCAACCACAGTTTGAGTTCTGGACCTGATGGCTTGCTTTTGTGCTTTCCTTCTC